GTGCTCGCGCGACCCTCTGCGGGGATCGGCGTGGTCGAGGTGCAAAAACCCATGGTTTTTTGCGATTTCTGCGGTGCTCGCGCGACCCTCTGCGGGGATCGGCGTGGTCGAGGTGCAAAAACCCATGGTTTTTTGCGATTTCTAAAGTTCCCGCGCGACCCTCTGCGGGGATCGGCGTGGTCGAGGTGCAAAAACCGATGGTTTTTTGCGATTTCTGCGGTGCTCGCGCAACCCTCTGCGGGGATCGGCGTGGTCGAGGTGCGTGGTCTGAGGGGATCGGCGTGGTCGAGGTGCAAAAACTCGAGGTTTTTTGCGACTTTTGTTGTTCGAACTGGTCCTCGGGAGTTGTCTCGTGGTTCGCGCGCCTGCTCCCGGGCCGGCCGGTCGCGGGTTCGATTCCTCCCTGGTCCGCGGGCGGAGGCGTCGCAAGAACGCAACTTGCATTTTAAAAGCAACTTGCGCAGACCAACTTGCACCGACCAGTTTGCGCAGAGCGCCTTGCCTAGAGCAACTTGCGCAGAGCAACTTACGCAGAGCAACTTGCACAGAGCAACTTGCACAGAGCAGCTTGCACAGAGCAACTTGCAGGGAGCGCAATTTGCACAACTTGCGCAGAGCAACTTACGCAGAGCAACTTGCACAGAGCAACTTGCACAGAGCAGCTTGCACAGAGCAACTTGCAGGGAGCGCAATTTGCACAGAGCAACTTGCAGGGAGCCACTTGCAGGGACCAACTTGCCGGAGCAACTTGCGCGGAGCAACTTGCGCAGAGCAACTTGCACAGTGCAACTTGCGTAGAGCAACTTGCGCAGACCAACTTGCACCGACCAGTTTGCGCAGAGCACCTTGCCTGGTGCTGTCTCGCGCCAACTTGCACATATTGCAACTCGCACAGAGCAAACGTGCAGGGAGCCACTTCCAGGGACCAACTTGCCGGAGCAACTTGCGCGGAGCAACTTGCGCAGAGCAACTTGCACAGTGCAACTTGCGTAGAGCAACTTGCGCAGACAAACTTGCACCGACCAGTTTGCGCAGAGCACCTTGCCTGGTGCTGTCTCGCGCCAACTTGCACATATTGCATCGCACAGAGCAACGTGCAGGGAGCCACTTCCAGGGACCAACTTGCCGGAGCAACTTGCGCACAGAGCAACGCACCGACCAGTTTGCGCAGAGCACCTTGCCTGGTGCTTCCAGGGACGCCACTTGCACATATTGCAACTTGCACAGAGCAACGTGCAGGGAGCCACTTGCAGGGACCAACTTGCCGGAGCAACTTGCGCGGAGCAACTTGCGCAGAGCAACTTGCACAGTGCAACTTGCGTAGAGCAACTTGCGCAGACCAACTTGCACCGACCAGTTTGCGCAGAGCACCTTGCCTGGTGCTGTCTCGCGCCAACTTGCACACACTGCAACTCGCACAGAGCAACGTGCAGGGAGCCACTTGCAGGGACCAACTTGCCGGAGCAACTTGCGCGGAGCAACTTGCGCAGAGCAACTTAGTGCAACTTGCGTAGAGCAACTTGCGCAGACCAACTTGCACCGACCAGTTTGCGCAGAGCACCTTGCCTGGTGCTGTCTCGCGCCAACTTGCACACACTGCAACTCGCACAGAGCAACTTGCGCAAAGCAACTTGCGCAGAGCAACTTGCGCATGTGCCAGGCAGGGGCTAAACAAGTTTGCCGCACATCGTGGGGAGTTATGCTTTCAGGCCACTCACCCTGTAGGAGTTTGACGCAAGGAGTTCTCATCATGAAAGAAGTTGCGGGGAGCATGGCGCACACGGCTTATTTACGGGCATGGCGCACACGGCTGGTTGTTATGTGGCACCTTGCGGATGATCATCGAGATTTGGCTCAAACAGAAGTCATGGAGCTCGAAGTAGCTAGGCTTCAGGCTGGCGCGGCCCAGCATGGCAAAGCGTGGCTGCAGCAAGAGATGGCGGCCAAAGCCCAACCCCAACTTCGCGCACTCGCCCGACGGCTGGATGTGCGCCAATGGGTCGCAGGCAGCAACGTGACCAAGGCAGACCTAGCTGCCGCTGTCGTGGAGAAGCTGTGCCCACAGGCCAGGCCACGGGCCAGGATCGAAATCTGGAGAGTTTTGCTGGTGTTTGTTTTGCTGTGCTGATTGTTGCCAGGAGAGCAGCTTGCGCAGAGCAGGGTGCGCAGAGCAACTTGCAGAGCAACTTCCGCAGCGTAACTCGCGCAGAGCAACTTGCACGGAGCACTTTGCGCAACTTGCACAGAGCAAGTTGCACAAAGCACTTGTGCAGAGCAACTTGCGCGCAGGGCACGTGCCCAAGCAGCTGTTGCGTGCATATGTGCGTGCATGCGTGCGCGCGGTTGCATTTTTCTGTTGGTTTGTGTGTGTGTGTGTGTGTGCGTGTGTATGTGTGTGCGTTTGTGTTTGCGCTTCCTGCGGGTCTGTGCGTGCGTGCGTGAATGAGGAGCGAACTGTAATACTTGTTTTTGTTTGTCTGGCAAATCATGTTCTTTTTTCTGGCAAATGGGTGTGGGTGCGAGGACAGGTGCTGATGGCCAACATGGTCCAGCTGGTGGCACGAGCTCTGGTTCCTCGCAGTTTCCTCAACCTCCACGCGGAAGCCAAGGGCAGTCTGCGACTGCGCGCAGCAAAGACGGATTGCGATCTCCTTGTGATCGGCAGCCACACTGCGCGAACTGGCGCCGTCACGAGAATGATTCGAAGCTCGGCTTGGAGAAGAAGCTGCAGTACCTCTTTCTCTACGCAGCGGAAGCCCGAAGTCTGACTTGCATGCGGCACTACGTAGAAATAGCACACGTAGTCCTCGGGAGTTCTCTCCTTTTTTTTTGCGTGTTTTTTGCTTGCGAATTTGTCTTTGGCAATTGTCTCGTGGTTTGCGCGGCTGCTCTCCGATGTCGCGCGGTCGCGGGTGCGATCCCCGCCTGGTCCGCGGCAGCTCTGGCTGCACGCAGTTCCAGCTGAAAGTCGCAAATTTTAAGTGCAAAAGTAGTACGCGGAGTACATTCCCGCACCTCCAGCTCCAAAATCACAAGAGTAGTACGCGGAGTACATTCCTGCAGCTCCAGCTGCAAAACTTGCGCCGAGCAACTTGCGCCGAGCAACTTGCGCAGAGCAGCTTGCGCAGAGCAACTTGCAGAGCAACTTCCGCAGCGTAACTCGCGCAGAGCAACTTGCACAGAGCACTTTGCGCAGCGCAACTTGCACAGAGCAAGTTGCACAAAGCACTTGTGCAGAGCAACTTGCGCGCAGGGCACGTGCCCAAGCAGCTGTTGCGTGCATATGTGCGTGCATGCGTGCGCGCGGTTGCATTTTTCTGTTGGTTTGTGTGTGTGTGTGTGCGTGTGTATGTGTGTGCGTTTGTGTTTGCGCTTCCTGCGGGTCTGTGCGTGCGTGCGTGAATGAGGAGCGAACTGTAATACTTGTTTTTTTGTCTGGCAAATCATGTTCTTTTTTCTGGCAAATGGGTGTGGGTGCGAGGACAGGTGCTGATGGCCAACATGGTCCAGCTGGTGGCACGAGCTCTGGTTCCTCGCAGTTTCCTCAACCTCCACGCGGAAGCCAAGGGCAGTCTGCGACTGCGCGCAGCACAGACGGATTGCGATCTCCTTGTGATCGGCAGCCACACTGCGCGAACTGGCGCCGTCACGAGAATGATTCGAAGCTCGGCTTGGAGAAGAAGCTGCAGTACCTCTTTCTCTACGCAGCGGAAGCCCGAAGTCTGACTTGCATGCGGCACTACGTAGAAGTAGCACACGTAGACCCCGGATGTAGGTCGTGCCAAAAAACGGCGCGTGACTGGGCTGCGAAGACTAACAAGGTTTTGCCGCCCGACGTGGAGGGTTTCTTCCAGAGCCACGGGCTGTAGAGTTTTTGCTGCAGGAGGCAGTTGGATTTGACGCGGACTGTGCGGACAACCTCGCTTGCGATGTTCTGCTTTCGGGCCAACCGTGGTCTAGTTTAGGGGTACCCTTTTCGGTCTAAAGCAGCCAACAGCCTGAAACATAGTTGGACAAATAATCATGAGGCTTTCTCACCTGGCCTGTGGCCTTCTGATCGCATCTGACCCAGAACCAGAACCCAAAGGACAACCAAACGGAAATTGAAAGCTTCCTTTCCAAGGCAACACCCATATTATATTCTGGAAGCTGAGATGTGATGGAAGGTTTTGAACAAAACCGCACCTTGGTGACATTGGGAGGGTTGGAGGCACCACAGCCATCAATCAAGCACACAAACGCTTACCCATCCAAAGTTGAAAGTCCAACTTAGAAATCATAATTGCAGTGTTTCAGAACAAGGTTGTTTCAAACAAACTCCGCAGATGCGCATCTACTCAGACACGGGTTTGAAAGGAACAAACCAAAATGATTGGGCCACAGGAAAGCACCCTTTCAATCCGGTGTTTCAAATCTCAAGAGATCCCCCTTCTTTTTTTGCAAGAAAGCGTATTATGATGGAATGGGGTGGGCTACTAAGCCACCATTTCACCAAAATTGGCAACCTCTGGTTTCTCATGTTTCTGGAAGAATCCTGTTTGTACTCCTTTGCCCTCCCATCCATATGGAACCCTAGGGTTTTAGTGGGGGAGGTCCTGGTTTGGACCACTTCAAAGGGCCATTCCCCCAGTTCCCCCCCCCCCCCCGGTGGGTTCCATGGCAAGGTTCCATGGCAAGGCGAACCGGGTAATGTTGACCCAGGATTAATAAGCCAGTCCCATTGTTAGGGGGGTGTTCCCTCCAAAAGTGGTCTGACTCCCCAACAGGGGAAAAGCACGCCCCAATCAAAATCAACCAGGGGTTCTGCTTAATCCGGGGTCAGGCAACCCGTTCTGCCAGTTTTGCAGTTCCTCCAGTTTTTCCAGTTCCCCCAGTTCCCCCAGTTCCCGATCAAAATCAACCAGTTTATATAAAACCCTAGGGCGCTAGAATTCCTGGTTTGGACCACTTCAAAGGGCCATTCCCCCAGTTCCCTGGTGGGTTGCATGTCACACCCTGGGTCAGTTCCCGGGTGGCTTATGACCCGAAGAGCCCAAAGCCTGCGCCAAGGCCACGATGCAGCGCCGCGAGGCCTGGCTTCCACGACTTTCCGCTTGGGTGCTGTTCATCCAGCAAGAAGCTCTTCACTGTTTGCTGGTCAAGAAGTTAAAAGGCACGACAGGAATCCCAAAAGCTAAAGCCTCAAACATCCAACCCAATAGAGGCGAGGCGAGGGCTTGGAAAGTTCGAAGGTGGGCTAAGATGGGAACATGCGAACCCCTTGGGATGAGAAAAGGCTCGATCCCGGTGAACAAAAAGGAATGGGGAACCCTTCAACAACGCTGGGTTCGAGAAATTTGGGCGAATTGATTTTGCTGGGGGATTTGTTTTTGGGATTTTTGATTTTATGGGGGGATTTTTGGATCTCATCACGGGGCTTCATGTCCGAAGCTTTCTCCTCAGCTCCAAAAAATCAAAGACCTCCGCAACCAAAAGCTTCCGGTGACGCTTGGAACTGGACTAGGCTGGAAAGATCGGACCCCGGCAAAAAAAACATCTTTTAAAGGCCCGGTGAGTGGAAAACCAAGGGAACCCCCGAAAAAAGCGAAAAAAAAAAAAAAAAAAAAAAAAAAAAAAAAAAAGCAAAAAGGGGAGCTAATTCTGGGGAAGTGGAGAGGCCGGAAGTTGCAGAAGCCAATTTTGCGGTGACGCGCGGCAGGTACGTCGCGCCAAGGTACCCTCACGTGTTGTGCGTTTTTTGGTCCATCCCCCGCTAGCTTTTTGGTTGGACATCGCACCACCCTCCTGTAGTTCCGATCCCTTGAATCCGGAAAACCTTGGGAGCGAACTTCGGGACTTGACGCGTGTTTCAAACTCCACTCAGAGACATTAGACATGCCCCCCCAAGCCCAGAAAGGTCAGACCTTGGGGAGGTTTGTCTCGGCTCACAAGCCAGTGTAAGTGATATTTCCCCATTCGCAAAGACCAAAAGAAACGGCACGGGCACTAATTGATGCATTGTCTTTGAACATTCAGCTGTACACCTTTGCATTTTCAGTTAACTGCGGCATACCTCCCTCATGAAAGACAACACCATGCTCCATGCTCCGGATGTTATGATATCTCGATTTCCTGCATGCCCTCCAGCAAACAAACAAGCACACCCCCCCCCCCCCCCCCCCCAATTGCAAGGAATCTACTCTTCCAAGAAGGGCAAGCCCCCCCCCCCCCCCCCCAAAACCCATGGTTCTTGCTTTGCCGAAGATCACGTGTTCTGTCTCTCCGTCTCTCAAAAGCCCACTGCAGGGTCATCCTGTGCTCGGTCCCCTGCTGCTGCATGGATGATGTTGTCATGGGCCAGCCATGCCTGGCGTAGCGAGCCCCGGCTAAACGGATGGAGTGTATACAGGAGCGCACGTATACCTATGTGGCTATTTTGTCATGGGAAACGCATAACCTATGGCGATCAGCCATTCTGGGGATGAACATCTATTTCTATTTTGATGATCAGCAGAGGGTTTTGACCCACAGCCATGTAGATAGATGCATAGGTTACATTGGAGCGGGTTAGGAGCCGGCCCCCAGAGCCGGCAAGCAGCCAGACCTTCCCACCCCTTCCCCCCCTCCCGCCCGCCCATGCACACCTCCGGCATTCCGCAACCAGTGGGCGAAAACAACGTGTTGACTTCTCGCACGGCTGAAGTTTCACAACCCTTGGTATAATAGCAAACAACTTTGTTTTTTGCAGCCCGGTACTCCCTACTAAAATGCACGGTGAAGGAAATATCCAAGAACTTCCTTGGGTGTGTCGGTTCAGATCAAAGAACCATTCCTTCTTCCAGGACAGCACATCTCACAAGGCTAAAGTGCCACATGTCGAGGTCCCAAATAGGGAAATTGAGGGCGCCCTGTCTCAATTGTCGCAGTCAAACAGATTCCGTTCGTCTTTTGTGATCGCCAAACTCTCGAAGCAAAAACAATCGTAAAAGGGATGATTTCTTCAGCCAAGCACCAGCCAGCAATGACGAGCGTCCTTGCTGGCACTTGGTTTACACAAGCTACAAGCGTAGAAGCTAGGAACAAAAAGGGGCCTGCCAGAAGATCCGACGTGTCGAAAGGTTGCCTGGCTTCGATTCAGAACGCGCGCGATGCATTCAAATGTTCAGTCCAATCTCCCGCACAACAACGGGGAGCCCGTGAAACATGAGTCTGGGGCGAACGGACAATGCTACCTTGCACAACATAGGATACCATGCGATCGAAGTGAATTTCTGTAGTCGAGAGATTCTGATTGGGCCTTCTCAAATAGATCCAAGGCGTGTCGCAGAGAAACGCCTAATTGGGTGCTCGCACCAAAGACAACAAAGATGTTCCACTTTTAGAGAGCAACCCACCAAAAGGGGTGTTCATCCGTGTAAGAGGGGGAATTTGTTTTTCCAGTGACCCGCAAAATGACGTCGGTGTCCCTTTGGGTTTTCCTTTAAAACAACCAACAAGATGGGTACCAACTGAAAACGAAGACATTTTCAAGTGAGTCAGAATCAAAGCATAGGAATTGGTTGGATGACAATGACCCTCCCCGAAGAGGGTGGGTGCTACAATTCGAATGGCTAGGAATTGCAACCACAAAAAGTAGTCGGACAAGAATCCCCCAACTAAATGGCAGTGAACTTTCATGAGCCCCTTAAAAGCGGTCGGTGGAAAAAAAAATCCCCACCTTGATGTTCAAAGGGTCCGCAATCGATAATTTCCCATGGGACACCAGTGTTGCTTTGTCAAGGGAAACCACCCAAGTCCAAAGGGAGTTTCCTCTACACATGCGTAAAGCATGTGTATTTCTGGGTTCCTACTTTTGGGGAATAAAAATAACCCAGTTCTGACATGCGCCGTTTCGCTTGTTCGCACCCCTTTAACGGGACATAGAGCCCCAAAAACAACAACAAGGAAACTTGTATATATGGCCATGGGTCAAAAGCCCGTACCCCCAGTGAACATCCCAATCCAACCACTAAAAAATAGGTTCCAACATGGGTGGTGAATTCACCTACCCCAAAATGGGATTCCATTGGATTTGACCCGGAGCCATATATGTAATAGGTTCTAAAATGGGTCGTACACCTACCCCAAAATGGTACCATTGGAATTGACCCACAGCCATGTGTTCTTAAGCAAATGGAGGACATGCTCCTGCGCTCCTGCGCTCCTGCCTCAGTGACTTCACCGAGCCTGACCTTCGGAAAGGCGAGGGCGGAAGGCGAGACACCTGGAAGTGCTTAAGACCTGCCCCTACGTCCACTTCAGGGATTCGGATGCAGGACAACACCTGAACACTCCGCAACTTGTAAATGGTGGTTTTCTTCTATTTTGGTGTTGAAAAAGCCATCCATGTTTCAAATGGTTGCAAAATGAATCTATTTTAAGGAGCCCTGTTCCATAACGTCTATTTGCTTGTCCCCTAAAAGCAACGTATGTTCAGCAGTGATCCATTCCTGAAGCCAACAGGGGGAAATCAAACATATTCTTGAGCAAATGGCTGATAATTATTAGAACTCTTTACAAGTATTCACATCTTTGGCTTTTACTGCTACCCTTCTGTTTGGTGAGCAAATGTGAGGTAGCCGCGACATCCATGTAGCGCATGTAGACTTCTGGGTGACACACACACACACACACCCAAACTAAGTTCCGTTCTCACAAAGCGTGAACACCACCATCCCCAAAATCCGCGAGCCAAATAAAAGAGGCACGGATCAACCCACTGTGCACACCTGTGCCCAAATCGACAAAACTCCTGGTCGATCCACAAATCCATCAAGAACCCTTGATTAAGGCAAGAGACTTACCCACCTATTTCCTCCCATCTCCCTCATTTGCTTGTTCGTCGCCTGGGCAAACCAAACACATATTTCCAGTAGTTGCAGATTCCCTTTAAAACCAACACTGGAACAGAACAACATAGTCCCAAGCAGACGGACGATTTTAATTTTCGTATTTGGACAAATAGTCATACATCGCTTTCGGGCAACCCAAGGCTCAACCCAAGGCTTCAGCGAGTTGCGAGACGAAAAGATGGAGAGATGAGGTTGGACGAAGCATTTGGCGGTGTTCTCAGGAGTGCTGCGCTGCTAAAAACCCGAATGGATGCTTTCCCAGCGCCAAGTATGAACATCATAACGTCCTGAAACGAGTGCTGCCTCGCCTCAGCTTGAAAAAGCCGTGACGATCTGGGAACTTACTATGTTCGAATTCTACAATCAGCACAAGTGCATTTGGCATAAGTTTGGTTTGATTTGGGCGTCTTCCTTTGAGGGTGCCCCTTTGTTGGTGCATTTTGGGGATTGCAAATCCTGAAGGAAACGATGCTCCCATTTTCAACCCAAACAAACGCGTCTGGGCACTCCAAACGACAACGAGCTCCCGGTCAGGAGTGCAGCAACACAGCACCTGGCCCGCACCCAACGCCCCGCAAAAACGTGGCATCGTCGTGTTCTCGTTGCTTTTCGTTCGGGGGAATATCAAAAGGTTGGTGTTTCTTCTTTGTTCCCTTTCCAACAACAAGAAACGGATACCAAAAAAAAAAACAAGACGCCAATTGGGGAGAGAAGGGAATATCTGGCAATGGAGTGTTCTCGCACGTCGTCAATCATACTTGACCCGACCTCGCTGTGTAGGAAACATGCCCGAGGTACACACACACACACACACACACACCATTCAACACCAACAAAGTGCTATGGCGGTCTTGGCTGCAGCAACCGAGCAGATGCAACTTTGCCTGCGCACACAACTCTAATGCTTCATCGGCCTGAATTGTGGAATCTTTGGGGGGCTTTCATGGTTGTTGCTCGCTCATATGTGAACTCAATTCCTTCAAGCTGGCACAGAAAGGAATGCAGGCGAAGTGGATATGAATACTCAGACTAAAGGTTGGAGCCTCAAAAGGTGGTTGGACATGAGTCCCCATGATGTTCACCAAAGGGTCCCCAATCAAAAGTTATGCACAAATGAGGTGTGGTCGAAACCGCTTTGGGGTTAATGCTCACTTCGGACGAATTCGGAGGATCCTACGAGGGAACAGCTCCTGATTGGCCTTTGGGTGAATCTGAAGTTGGCTTTTGAAGCTAGATTTTTCTGGCGGCTCAAACGGAAACCAACAGAATGGGGAAGCCATTTTACTTATACTTTTTTTTTGGGGGGGGAGATACTAAATCAATGCACGCCCGTGTAACCATTCCTGTGAGCCCCGCCCACCCACCCGCCCACCACCCGCCCACTCGCCCACCCACCCACCCCCACCCACCCCCACCCACCCCCACCCGCCCACCACCCGCCCACTCGCCCACCCACCCACCCCCACCCACCCCCACCCACCCCCACCCACCCCCACCCACCCCCACCCACCCCCACCCACCCACCCAGAACAAAACGATTTCATCATCCTTTGACCTGCTCCCCCCACGTCTGGTGCGCAGTACAACGCAAGGACGCACACCTGATCCCCCTACCACCCCACCCACATCCCACCCACCCCCGCCAACTCCCACCCACCACCGCCCCACCCACCACCGCCCCACCCACCACCACCCATCCACCCACCCACCACCCATCCACCCGCCCACCCACCCGCCCACCCACCCGCCCGCCCACCCGCCCACCCGCCCACCCGCCCGCCCACCAAAGGGGAACAACTCCTGATTAGTACGTTCGCGATTGAAAGGGAAACCGAAAGGAAAACCGAAGCCATTTAAGGGGGGTCCCCCAAACAACGACACACCCAAATGGGGAAACCACCACCACCACCACCATCATCATCATCTTCTTCTCCATCCCACCCCACCCACCCACCCACCCACCCACCCCAAATCGGAGGGCTCCACCCATCAGGTCTCGCTCGCGCCCGCCTGCGCTGCCACCGCCACACTCGAGGCCCGGCGCCCGCCCAGCGAGACCGGCGCCGGCGAGCGCCGGCCCCCGAACCTCGGGGCCGCGCGTAGGGCCGGCGGTAGGAGTGGTCAGTGGGCGAGTCACAATCAAAACCGATCGGTACAAAAATGGTCGACCCCTTACCCCTTAAAACTCCCTGCGCCCTGAGAAGTTTTCATCTTTTACAGACATATAGCCCATGTTACCCAACAAGTTGAGAAGTTGTGTTTTTAAGAGGTAAGACCCAGAACCATGTAAAGAACTAAGAAGGCGGCCGCAGCTATTTATGGCTGGGATCGTGCCTTACTAACCTTCATCTACCCAGGTTTTGATTGTGACTCGGGTGGGCCTGGTCGTTTTTTCGGGCACCACCCCCCCTAAAGAAAAGAAGATACAATCAACCTGGCTTTCCTGGTTGGTTTGCACCAGATTAGATTACTCACTTCCCGAGAAGATTGGCTAACAAAGAAGTCAACAAACTTGCCGTTTGCCACTAGAATGAGTCTTCCCAACAAGTATCAAGTCCAGGAACTCAGGAAGTGAGTGGGTGTGCCTTTTTTCAAGGGTCCCCCCCCCCCGCAAAGAAACGTGGGTTGCCTTTTGGCGTTCCTTTAAAGCCACCCAGAAACGTGGCGCCAGCTTCCAAAAAAAGGAACCCCTCCAGTTGCGAAGGTTTTGCAGTGGGGAGCCCTGCACTTTGGGTAGGACTCCGGGAATCCTGCTGCCTTGAGCCTATTCTGGGCTGATCAGCTGGCCAATTCTGGGGCGAGGATCTCAAGGCCCAGTGCCTTGGCCGAACCCGCAGCGACTATCTGCGGAAACCAAGGCTCATGATTCAGGGGGCTGAATCCAAGGCTCCCACGCCAAAAAACCAGGTCAACCCCAGAATCTCGTGTGGGATCTGTACCCCAGGCGATTCCAAGGCTTCCCCCCGGAACTTTTTGGAAGACCTGGTTCCATTTGCGATGGCCTTCTGGGAGCTTCCATGAGAGAGAGAGAGAGAGAACAATCCACGTGATGTATGAATGGCCCAACATGACTCTCGCTTCCCGTTCAGGCCAGCACCCCCATGCGAAGAGCTGCCCCGACTTTGTGACCACCGCCGTCGCCTGACTGCTAACGCCAGAAAACACCTGGCGCCACATGTGGAAAGTAAGCTACCTGTGACAATGTTCTCCCTGCTGTGGTTCTATCATGGGTGAACATAGTTTCAGGGCCAACCCCCTGTGAAACCACATGGTTTCAGGGCCAAACCTTTGTGAAACCAGGTAGAAGAGTTCACTCGGCGACCTCGGCAGCAGCGGCTCGAACCACGCCCAGCACTTCGCCTCAGCGAATGGCTCCCTGACATTTCGGTGTCTTGAATTGATGTGGTTAACACATCCAGCGATTGCTTGCAGCTGAGATATGGAGAAGCATAAGGCCATTGTCACAAGGTCAACTCATTCCTTGTGCAGGGGAGGAAGAAAAACATCCAGCCGCTAAGGGACCATGAAAGAGACTTGGTGTTACAACTATCCCATGCACTCGTCCTCTCTTGGGTACCTCGACAAAGCCAAAGGCCAACACCACCATTTTTATTTATTCATTTTTTTCAATATATATATATATGTATATATATATATATATAATTATATTATTTTTTGGGGGGTGGCCCTATTTTGAGACACAACATGGACCTGCCCATCGAAAACCAGCGCCTTCGGCCGAGCGCTCGGCCCACGAGCTCTGGCGTCTGGCGGGGCGCCAGCGAGCCATCCCCGAGCCTGCGATGGCCAAGAGCTCGATCCACACATTTTCGGCCCCATAGATAGGGGCGGCCCGTCCCGCGGGTTTTCCTTTGAACCGGGCCAAACAGTGGATGGACAAAATCCTGCACCTTTGAAGCTATGGCAAACCATTGTTTGCTTGGGCATTTGCAGGGAAATCATCATTCCAGGGTTTCTTAGATGGTGCAGGATTTTGTGCATCCGCAGTAGGGGCGCCCGCAAAAGCGTTCACCCTTGAGACCAACCCAAACATGGGCGGTAAAAGGTACCCTCGACCAAAAGATGTCATTTTTCGGTCGGGCGTCTCTGCGTTTTCTGGCGGGATCCTTTTGGGGCTCAAGGAAAGTCAAGGAACAAATGCAGCGTTTTTGAGGTCCATCTTAACATGTCAACTTCTGAGTTGAACGAGGACATACGAGGACCATAATCAGGTTGGGTTCCCACTGCAGCAGATAACTTCATTCCAGCGGGATTCCTCTAATGAATATTGTACGAAGTTAGTACAATGCTTATATGTTCTAGTGGTTTGCACTCGATTATTGCTTGTATGTGTTCCTCCTCTTCCAACACTTGTAGGCTTCTCTGCAGACAGGAGAAGCACAGCGGGCAATGGGGTAACATGTCCTTCGACAAAAACCTTTCGGCAGCTCAAATATGTTTCTGGTGCTAGCGCCCGAGACGGACAGCACATAAACCCTGTCGGGCTTAACCATAAAAACCTCCAGCGGATTCATCCGTGAGAAAAACATGGCATTTCCCCGTTGTTCCTTTTTATTCTCATTTTGTTCTATTTTCGGTACTTGATTTTAGAAGAAGCTGCCATAAAAACCTCCAGTGGACTAATCCATGAGAAAAACATGGCATTTCCCCTTTTTCGGTACTTGAATTTGGAAGAAGCCCCATCTCCCACCTGGGCCCTCAGATCCCTCGCTAAAAGTCAAACTTTCAGTGGGTTCAATGGAAATCCCCGCCAAAAAAGCCAAAACAAAATACACTTTTGGTGGGTTCAATGGACAACCCCACTATAACCACTAAAAAGATCTCAAAAGCTACGGAACCCGATGCCTGGGAGCCAAGCCAAGAAAGGCCCCTGTCATTTGGCTCTTCTTTGGACTTCCAGAAACTCTTTGGCCACGGGCATTTTTGAATGAATTTCGTGCCTTCGGCATGGCTTCATTCATTTTTTTTGGGACATGATGGGTTTAGACGGCCATCTCAGTTGTTCAGCGGCCCTGGAAAAAAAGGGAACCCTTTTTGGGGCTTGGACCATTTTAGTGGGGCAGCCACCAAAAAAAAATTGGAACAAGGGGGCCACCGAACAACTGAGCAAAGGCGACGCCAGGGAACTTGAGGTCGACGAACTGAAAATCCGCCGGGACCACTGACCGTGCTGGTTGTCGCCCCAGGTAAAGAGATTGCCTGGCCGAGAGGAGACAGGGAGGGGAAAAGAAAAACCAACACATATTATAATATGGCTGTGGGTCAAAACCCTGTACCCGCAGTGAACATCCCAATCCCCACTAAAATAGACTAAAATGGGTGGTGCACCCACCCAAAATGGTACCATTGGTTTTGACCCATGGATAGCATTTAGTCAAGTCTGAAACCCTGAAACTCTAAAACCGCAGTTGTCAATTTTGGTGACCACAGCTATCGTGTTGATCAATCAGCCAAGGCGCAGTCCATTCTGACAGCTCCGAGGCACAATTCATGGAATCTACTGAACCGCTGGGAACATTGGGGGCTGTGGCACAAGTATCTCTCTCTAGGGGTTTTCGCCATGCTAAACAACCTGAACTGGTCAATGGCTTTTGTATCAAGAACCCCCCCCTGTGCCAAAGCTTTTCATGAATGGCAAACGACGTGAAGCGAAACCTTAGGCACTCAAGCTCCACCAACAATGAGCCGCCTAGAATCTAGGTTAGTCATTCCGTCAAATAAGCTATCTAGAGTCTAGATAAACAATGCCATCAAATCAATTCAGATCCACAATCTAGATCAACCATTGATCAGCTTCTCTCTGAGTGGTGGTTTAGATCGCTGCAAGAACCAGAGTTCAAATCCCCAAGCCGCCGATCCAAACCACCAATCAAGGCGTACATTCCTGAAACTGGCCAGCCTGAATTTGGGCAAGCCATGCCCTTGCAGGCGTCACATGCCGGCAGCACCAAATGTGGTCACTGCACAGCTGTGCGCGCCTTGGCTTGAACAAGCTATGGACAAATCCTGCCAAAGAAGGCCAAATAAGGCCACATGGCTGTGGCCCAAAAAACCGGTACCAAAATGGACCCCTGGTAAGTGGAAACATGTGACCAAAACCTGCGGTTTGCCCCTCTTGTTTAATTTTGAGCCACAGCCACATGGGTACGTGACAAAAAATCGGGGGACCCGCTTAAACCTGGGGTTTCGGTTTCCCTCGAGTTTCCTTTTAAAAGCCAACCCATTGAAGGGCACCAAACAGCACACACATAATGCCTAGGTTGAGTTCTTTGGTGCTCGGGGCCTATACACTGCACACATGCCTACGCGAGCGCCTACGCAACGCAACGGCGACTGCAAGGGGTGCCTACGCGCGCACGTTCTCTTGTCGCGCCTACGCGGACGCCTACGCAAGAAAATCGCGCGCCGCTTTTCTCCAGCTCGAGCTTTGCAATGCCAAGCCTGACACAGATGCAGATGATGTAGAAGAAGCAGATGCTGTGGAAGATGATTGCACCGCCAAAGCGTGATAACATGTTTGATTTCCCAGGGATCCCCTGTGTCGTGGCTCTGAGTCAGCATTTGAGCAGTGTTGTTTTTGGTGGTTCGGGGCCTATACACTACTTGCGCGCCTACGCGAAGGCCTACGCAAGCCTACGCGGCCTGCGAGGGGTGCCTACGCGATCACAAGTCAGCTTCCACAGGCGCCGACCTACGCGGGCAAACGTTGAGTTCAAGTGTCGAAGCGCACTGTGGCAGCTCCAGCTGGAAAGTCGCAACTTTTCAGTGCAAGTGCAGTTTTGGCAGCTCCGGCTCTAAGATCAGAAATGCAGTACAAGTGAGAATCCAACATCTGTCCAAGGATCTGGCTGCTAGAAAAGGTCTACGCACCCAAAAGGCCTGGAAAGCCTACGCGAATGCCTACGCGGGGCCTACGCGGAGCCTCCGCGAAGACTGCAGAAGAAACAGAAGGAAGGCAAAAGAAGCAAATTCCTTCATACGTGGCAAACAGTCATGATCTGTTCAACAAACGCCTACGCGAAAAGCCTACGCGAGGGGTGACACAACAGCCTACGCGCTGAAGCCTACGCGAGCCTACGCCCCCAACCAGGATTGCCTCCGCAAAGTACGTGCAGTTTTTTTTTGTATAAACTCTTTCATTTGATTAAAAAACGCTGCTCAAATTTGAACAGGGGCCAGCCGCCATTATATGGGCGTTCGTTTTACTGGGGGACCCTTTTGATGGACATATCTGGGGGGATTCATGTCCGCCAACCACTTTGACAATTCTTAGCCATGTTGGTTCAAGAACCCTTTTCTCAGTGTGTCTGCAACAACTCAGCCAAACCCATGCCCATCCATATGCATTGTAACACATAAAGCTTCAGACAACACATAACAACTCCATCAAGTGCCTACGCGCGCGCCTACGCAAGAAAAATACAAGGATGTCTACGCCCCCCAGCAAAATTGCCTACGCGGACATGATGCAGTTCCCTTTTTGTATTGATCCTTGATTCCAAGAAAAAAAAACGCTGCCCAATTGATCCTCCAACACCCTGCAGTCAAATATCTAGGTGCATGGTAGTCTCTGGTGACCTGGCTGCATTGACTGAATCTCGGGCACCGTGCTGCCAGCAGCCACATCGCAGGCTTGCAAATGAGAAAGCGCCTGAAAGCAGAGACGACAAGCAGAAAGCGCGATTTGTGCCTGTACGTCGCAAGGCTTTGGCCCCATACCCAATGCAACTGCTTGCATGCCGTAGATGTGCCCGTTTTCAACATGCCCATCTACAAGCGAAGTGAAAGCTGTATACACCAAGTGAACATTCTGCGTCACATTGCATCTGCCAATCTTGTGACTTCACATCTCCCTGGACCGGACCATACCATATACACAAGTCCAGCTAGACACGCCATACCGAGAATAGCGGGGCCCACTTCATCTGACGACTGTGCTAGGGTTGGAATGGTGCGCCTGCAGCGTAGACGTTCTACTTGTTGCAAGCTGAGACGAGCCATGGAAAAAGTGGCCGGGTTGACTTTGCAGAAATAGCCTCAACCCTTCGTGAAAATATGGTGACCCCTTAAACACACCAGCAACAGGTACCCTCAAATGGCTAATATGTCCGAGGTAGAGCAACATGTGGCGTAGTTAGACTGGATACAGCAGATAGTAAAATCCACTCGCGGCATCATGCGCTCATTCTTGATATCTCGTGAAAAACGTTGCAGGACTCGTTGAGTTGGAAACCCCAACATCACGTTGCAAACGTTGCCATATCTGCGAAAGTCCTTTGTTGCCCGTGTCCCAACTCTGCACGGCTCCAGCTTGCCTGAATGCAGGCTGGGCTGGCTGCATGCTGCACCTGAAGCATCTGGGTGTTGAAAAGCAAGCGTGAGAGACAGCACGACAAATATGCCAATTGCGTGTGGGAAGCTGTATCATTAACTGGTGCGAACTCATGTGCAAGTCGCCAAGCTTGTGCAAGCTGTGTCACTCAGTTCACACTCACATGATATGCACCAGGAGTTGGAGGGCTGTGCTTTTGTGCGAGCGAAACACATTGTGAGAAAAACTTAACATAATGTGTTTCGCAGGATTCCATTTGTTGGAATTTCCTCTCCTCAACCCCACGCCCCGCTCCGTCGCCCCCCCCCCCCCCCATGCGCCTTTTCGAGTCCCAACCTGGCTGTCGAGGATTGACGAAACATTGCCTATTTTCGGAACTCTCTGTCCAGTCAGGGAAGACAGGCACTTCCCAGAAGGGAAAGTACTTGCAACACGTCGAGTCAGCTTCCATGATAGGGTGGGTGCACACGCGTTCGATTCTAGTGAGCTGGGGAGGTTTCTGCATTGCATCTGCCTTGACCCTTGTAAACCAACCCTTGTGGTTTCCTTGAAGGGAATCCATGCATTCATTCCCTCATTCCCTGCTGAGCCCCTGCAAGTGTTACGCGGCGAAAAGCTTTTCCAGAAGAAACGAAAAAAGAAAAAAAGAAAGAAAACAAATAGCTGCGCAATCCCACGAGCACGAATGCTTCCAGAAAGGGAAGCCACACCAAATCACAGCCTGAGGAGAACAGGCCCGCGCTAGTGCTGCTGAGCCATGGCGGTCTTGTTCCGATTGGCCAAACCAAAAATCGGAACTTGTTTCTAGGTCCTCCAGTAGAGAGGTTGGAATAAGGGTACCATTTTTTTCTGTAGTCTATCTTAGTCAGGGCTCCCTATATTTCCCCTTAAAACATCACCCTCACCAAGGGATACTCACCTTTCATGGGCCGAAAAGGTGATGTTTTAACCGGCCAAAAAGGGAAATATAGGGACCCCTGTTACGTAGTAGGGGAACCCTCCCCCCAAAAAGGGGAAAAGGGCACTGGACCCTAGGTGTGTTCCCCCAGCTTCCAGCTCTGGGCCCTAGATGGCCCCTAGGTTCTGGGGTGGGAGCCGCTTCCGGGGATAGATTGATCGCTGACCTTTGGGTGTGGCTCAAAAAATGAAACGACTGAGACGAAATCGCCGGTTTTCGTCTTTTCCATCTGCCAAGTACGGGTTCTCTTTGATTTTCTATTCTTGGCTTTGCATTGGACTACAGGTGCCGGCTTGGTTTCCATTTTTCTGAGCCACAGCCTGTGGAGTCAAAATCAAAACCCGGTATTAAAATGGTCGACCCAGAACCATGCTTCAAAAATTAAGAGGGCGGATATCCGCAGCTATTTCTGGCAAGGGGGTTGTCCCTTACTATCCGTCATCTACCCGAATCGGTTTTGAGCACCTGGCTCATTTGGTCTCCCCAAAAGTACGCCCAAACCGGAACTCCCCAAGCCAGTGAAGCTCAGCCTTGAGCTGATTCAGCCCGGCCCGGTCGCTTTTTTATGCTTTTTTGATTTCTTTTGTGGCGCCTCAAGCTGGGCTGCCAGCCCTTTTAGATTAAAGGGAAGTCGAATTTGGAATACTGCTATTGCTTTTTTTGCTTTTTTGCTCTTTTTTTTCTGGGGTTCTGGGGGGGGAGGATTCCGCGGTTTTGCCACAACCCTACTTGATCATGACGTTTGGTTTAAACATGCCCGCAGCCGGTTTCAACTTGTTGGGCTCCAGTGGATGTTTGACTTGTTTTGGGCTCCTTTCTTCTTGCAAGTCTTTCAACACACGGATCAGCGGTTCTGTGCTTCAGACAACGGAGGTAATTGGTTGTGTTCAGCGTGTCCCGCCACTGCCCTTAAATGTACCTGCTAATCTTGCTGGTGCTCAGCAGGGAATGCGGGCATAACCCCTCGACACCATCCGTTTCCTTGAAGGGAATCCTCAGGTTACTTCCCTCACTCCCTACTGAGCACCAGCAAGTAATAGAACATGTTTCTCGGTTGCTTTCTGCTCCCCTGCTAAAAACAAATTAACTTTTGGTGGTTTAATGGAAAACCCATTAGTTGGCAAAAAGTTAAAGTCTTAACATCCAAGCAAAATGCACCAAAGGTTTGTAATGTTGCGCGCTGTTGCTTCCTTTGCTGGGTGCGATGTGCGTGCGCTGCTTGGTGTAGCAAGGTCTCAGCGCGGAAGCCGCAAGCTTGCCCACGAACCGCTCACTCGACCCACTCGAACAATGCTTACTCGAATCCTGATTGAATCTACAGTATCCCCTTCAGATTTTAAGTGTGCACACCTACCCACCCAAACCAACCCACCCCTACCAAACCCCACCACCTGTGGGGTGGGGTTTGGGTGGGGTTTGGGCGCAAACTCCACCCCAAACCACCCACACCCACCCCAAACCCCACCCCAAACTCACCCCCACCCCAAACCACTAAGTCACTAGCCCCACCCAAAAACCACCCACAGCCACCCCCGCCCACGACTAGCCCCCCAAAAACCACCCCCACCCAACCCACCAAACCAGGTGGCTCCGGTCTAAGGCTGCGGCTGGCCATGGCTGTTGCGGCCGCTGGCGAAGACGAGGCCTGTGGTGGCCAGCAGCAACAAGTGCTCCGCCCCGCAGGCGCAGCGCTGCACCTCGCAAATCTTCCCAGCCCCAAAAAAGAAGAGGCGAACGAGCGCGTGAACAGAAAAAAACAAAGACGATCCGGCTTGGGCTGGCCAGCTCATGAAAAACGTGGACAACACCAGCACCCTCCGACTACTGCCCAGTGACCGGTAGATAGACTTTTCAAAAAAAAAAACGTAGTGAAAAAGCTAGTGTCTTTGTTTTTATTTGCAGGATGGTCATGACTCGCAAGTGACAGCGTGTCAGTGACATGAAGTAGCAAGCAAGTCCTACATAGTAACACGCATGGACTTGCGCGTCACTGCTGTCACCCCGTGTCACTTGCGTGTCACCTGCGTGTCACCTGCGTGTCAGTATGTCAGAACAACAGTAGATCGCTGCAAACGATGATTGTTTTGACCTGTCACTGCGTGTGACCCGCGTGTCACCACGTGGAGAAGGGTAAGGGATACAAGCTTGGTTGTTAGCTTGGTTTTTGCTGTTTGGGAAACAGCCGTAGATCGGGGATCTACTGTCTTTTGCTTTTTTTGCGGAACTACTGCCAAATAGACGGTAGTTACGGAAATCAAACGAAAGCAGTAGTCGGAGGGTGCTGGAACGTGGCAATTTTGGCTTGTAAGGGTCTAGCACTTACTGCTCAAGCTCGCGTCCACGAGTTCTTTTCGCCCTAGATTTTCTTCTTAAGGTCGGTATTGGCGATGCCTTTGAGAGCGCGACTAGGCGGCCGCTGTGGGGTTTTGCTTTTGTGGTACAATTTCTGAAGCAGAGTTCGCGGTGGGAATCACGGAGGGGGCGTGTAAGCTTTTTCTTCATGCGGCGCAGCAAGCAAAACGAGCGCAACCGTAAAATGGATCAAGCTTGCCGGGCTTCTCACTTGCCTTACAAACGGTTGCAGGCTCTGGGCGGCTAGCAATTAGGGGTCAACGCTGTCTTGCTTCCATTTTATCAGCAGCAGCATGCTTGAGGCCCCATCTGATTGACCTTTTGGTGCCGGTGTGGTTGCAGTGTGGTTTCGCCAAGCAAAAATCCTAGGTGGGGATTGTTCGAAGCAGCAGTAGTTGGCAAAGTTTGGGAGACAAACAAATGAACCGCCCCCATTAGGCTGGGTGAATTATGATATTTGTTGGGGTGCTATTCCCCACATAAGCCACCATTTGGGGTGAGGTCATGTGAGGTCGTTATAATTCACCCAGATTAGGGTGTTTTGACACCCCGGCTGTTGCAAAGCCAGCCTGCACTGGCATCTGCAGCTTCTGCAATCGCCCAAAGGCCGCCAGCATCTCACGGGAAGCTTCACACGCGAGAAACATATGCCGGGGTGCCATCCCCAACAACGCCACCCCAGAGCTTCTTGGGGCAAACACCCCAAAGCTTTCAGCCGCTGGGAAAAGCAGCAGCCGGCAAGCAAGACGAAATACACTCAGGGGATTTCCATGGGGAGAAACGGCGCAGCTGTTTTTTGCTGGTTGATGCTAGTTACCGGGAACCCCCCCCCAAAAAGAAAGACAGAAAGAAGGAAAGACAGAACGTTGACATGGATCCCACCAGGTTCCAGATGAGTGGACAAAAAGGATATCCTGGAAACTGTTTCAAACCAACAAATAGGGTCCCATCAGCTTGCCAGCCTATGATTCAAAGGAAACGACACAACACATAAATGACCAAATAGCCCAGTATATAGCGGCCAAATTCTAGTTTGACAATGTCTGGAATGCCGAAAGCCAGACACTCCTCCAGCCTTCTTTCTGAAACGAGAATGGAACATAAGCATCGGAGATGTAGCAGAACATTCACGATTCGGCCAAATGAAAGTGAAAGCACAGCATGCCGCAAAGGTCCGTGCTTCAGCTACGTTGGCAAACTTTAGCTCTCTATAGCGGCTCCCGGCCGCTTAGTTGTTGAATGCTAAGCTAATCTCTGCTTGGAGCTTTAGAGCAAGACTCTGCAAAGGCCAATCCCAAAATTTGAATCCGCCATATGTCGCTTGTCTTGGCAACGCGCACTGCAGGGGGCATGTAAGTTAACCAATGCGAAGGGCGGTATTACCGCATGAGCCAGTCATGCAAGCAGCTGACAATATTGACAGGATAAACCAATAAACAACCGGTCGCCAACCACTGAAACCGACGGGCATCCACCGGCAAAACTGATAGGGAACTACAAAGCCGCCGTGGTAAACGTTGCCCAACAAGCACCGAAAAACAACCACCACAAATCTACTGTTGGTGGGTTTGTCAAGCATATAGGCATTCTTTCTGCGTGAGGTTGGTCCTTTTCATGGTGGCCACCTGCAAGGGTCCAGACTTGGACCTACAACTCAAAGTTGTTGAGGGAAAAGGGAAAACCAGGAAACCCAAAAGGCCTTGCGGGGCAACAAGGCTAGGTAAAAAGTCTGGCAATGTGCGGTCTGACATGAGACCGTAATTCTTGCTGGGTCTCAGCAGGGAATGAGTTGGGATAAACCCAACGGCTTTGTGATGTCCTTTCCTTAGATTCAATGACTCATTCCCGAAAACCCCTCAAACGATTCCTGGCAGCAAAGCCTACCGACTCAGACTTGAATGGGGGAAGCCAGGAGCCAACGGGATATGGAGCCAGTTTTCTGGCGTTTATATTTTGGCGAAAGAAACACAGTAGGGAAACTCCCACATCAGGGACCCTCCTTTGTTCCCTACGGAGAACCAGCAAGAATTAGGGCTTCCCAAAATGGCGGACCCCCCTTTGGATGGTCTTTAAACACGGCAACCAACGGAAGGGTGTTTCTCGAAATTAGGTACCCATCCAGGTTGGTTGCCTTTCGGCTTCCATTTCAAACCATCCCAAAGGGTTAGATAGACCCCGTTTGTCATGTTAGGGACATTTGTTTTGGGTGGTTCCAAAGGTTGCTTGGGTTGGTTTCGACGGGAAAGCAAAAAAAACACCGTTTGAAGGGTCCCAGTTTGATAAACACCTGGTGTAAGTGTCAAGTTCAAGGACCCCCGTGTCAAGATAGCCCCAAAATATGAATGACCTTTTGGTTTCTTTCAGCAACCTAACAAAGGGGATTCCACGTACCCTCCCCCAGACTAACATGGAAGAACCCAGGACTCCTTCCATTTGGAGAGGCCTTCTGGGAGCTTCCGGCTGTAAGTCTGCAGGGTATCCCCCAACAACCCAGATGCCCAGTGGCCAAGAGAAAAAATGGGTAAATACCCGTTCTTGGTTGAGTTGAAAGGAATCGGAACCCTTCTCCCCCCCAAAAAAAGGTCCGATAAAAAAACGAACAAAAACAGCAACCCAGATGCCCAGTGGCCAAGGGAAAAAAAGGGTACCCGTTCCCTTCTCCCAAAAAAAAGTCTACAAAAAAGAAGCAATCCGCTGGTTCGTTTAGTTGTGCTCCCACAAGGCCTCTGGAAGTCTTCCCAAGTCCTGATAGCTTCCGGCTGGAAGTCTCGGGGAGGGTATCCCCATACTTTTCTAACAGCAACCCTTTGGTTGAGTACCCTTCCACAAAAAAAAAAAAAAACACAAGAAGAGGACGCAACCCACTGGTTGCAACAGAGGCAAGCCCTTGGAACCCTCCAACCCTCCCATCCGCGCCGCGCTGGTCAGCAGCGCTTGGGCCTTGCGGTCCCCCTGCTGCGCCTTCTCCTGGAGGGTCCATGGAGCAAAACCCGACCGTCAGCTTCCCTCGAATTGATTTGCTTCTCGAGGGCCTTTTCATCTTGGTTTCACAAAGCCATTTTGGGCTCAGTTGTTCAGTGACCCTGGAAAAAAAGGGAAACCTGTTTTGGGAAGACCATTTTAGTGGGGCAGCCACCAAAAAAAAAGGAAAAAGGGGCCACTGAACAACTGGGTACCCATTCTAAGCTTTCATCTAGGTGGCTTGGAGCTGCATCGGTGGTTTGGGGAAAAACCAAAAGCGAGTTTGGGGGTGCCCCTTCTCAACTTTCCTCTAGTTGGTGGTTTGGATTGGAGGTTAGGGAATGGTTTTCCAGGTACCCTCTACAAGAACCAGGGCTTCAAATCCAAATCCAAACCAATCCAAACCAATCCAAACCAATCCAAACCAATCCAAACCAATCCAAACCAATCCAAACCAATCCAAACCAATCCAAACCAATCCAAACCAATCCAAAACAGCAAACCACCAAACCACCGGGCAACCTGAAAACAATCTCCTTTTCTGTGATACCAAAGTGGGACTTCCGAAACCACTAGATCGCCTAGAAGTTCCCCGGACACAGAACTTGGTATGGCCAAAAGTTTGCCGTGAGACCAAAACCCAGTGCTCTAGGGGTAACTTCCAACCATTCTTTCCAGGGATCCGTCAAAACTCTGGGGAAATGACGATCGGTTTTTGAAAAGATGCCTTGTCAACCCCTAGAAGGGCTGGTGTTCCCTCAAGGGAAGCTCTAAGTCCTTCTCCCAAAATGGCACCATCTAGTTGAATTTCCGGCCAGCCTCTTGGTCCAGTTTGGTGGCAAACCATTCCATATCAAAACTTCCTTGCAACTCTGGAGTCAAGACTTTAAACCTAAGCCTAAGCCCTGAATCTGAACCTTCTACCCCAAACCTGAACCCTAAACCTAGACCTGGACCCTAAGCTTGACCCCTGGCCGCCTGCTCCCTACCCAGTACCACGGCCCTCTCTGAAGAAAGAAGGCAGCCACGTGTCAGGTATGGCTGCGCGAGCTCTGCTACTTGAGCACTAGAAGGGGCCAGACAGGGGACTAGGGCGTGACGGCAACCCACGGGGGCTCATAGGTGAAAAGGGTCAGGATAGTTGAGGGTTCAGGGGCGCCGGCACCCCATGGGGGCTGCCCGTGAAATTAGATAAGAGACCCAAGCTAAGCTTCCATCTGCTTAACCTGCCTGGACAAAGTAAAACCAGATTTCCAGTAGTGATAGATTCCCTTTAAGACCAGCAAGGGAAAATGACCTCTTAAAATTCTCAAGCAAATGGAAGTACCTCTGCCTTCTGTGGGATCCTTCTTGGAACATTTGCCAGAAAACGAGGAGTGACCCGCCTGAAACAAATCTCTGTGGTTGCACTATCGTTTTTTGAGGGCGACCTTTTTTTCACCTTGAACCAAGCTCGATTTTGGGGGTACCCCTGCTCAGCTTCCCTCTAATTGGTGATTTGGATTGGTGATTTGGTGGCTACGGAGGGGGTTCCCATGTACCCTCGACAAAAGCCGGGCAAGCCACCAACTAGGGGCAACCTGAAAGGTAGACCATGCTCTTTAAAAAACAATCTCCTTTCCGATGATACCAAAGTAGGACTAAACCACTGGATCGCCGAGAAGTCCAAACCACCAACCAAGGATGACCTCCGACGTGTCGCGAGCATGTTGAAAACACCCCAGCTCCTGCATGCCAGCGGGGCCTGAGCTGCAGCTTCAGCGAAATGACCAACAAGTTGAGTTCACGGGGGGGTTTTGCCCGGACTTTCACGCTGCCCCGCGCCTGCCCACGCGGCTGTCGGGGGGGGGGGGGGGGCATGGGAACGGGGGGGGTGGAGGGATGGAAAGAACACGGGTCCATGTTTCCAGCATGTCGAGGCCAACCCCGACCCCCCAGCCCCACACGCCATGTGACTTCTCCGCTATCTGCGCGCTCTACGCGACTGCGCAGTCCCATTTGCTTATCTGACACGCTGTCACTTTGGTGCAGTGGTTTTAGAAACCTGGTGTCTAAGAGGGTTCCGTTTGAAGGAATGCTGGTCTTTGTCTCCGCTGCGCTCTCAGTTCCGAGCAGACACGGAAGTTCTGCCAGCAAGCTATCAGCGCAGCTCATGACTTGTCTGCTTCGCATATACAAGGCACGGCCTGGACAGCTGCGTGAAAGTGTTGGTGGCATTCTGAAAGCCGCGTATTCGAATCTGAGATTCAATCACGCAAAGTTGTACATTTGCAGACTTTCCTGTGATGCCACCGAAGCCACGATTCACTGCTATTCGCATAGGATTTGCACAATTCCCAACCCACGTCCAAGAGTGACCTTGATTTCGGGTAACTTTTCCAAGGCAAGTATCTTATTTTGATTGTTGTTTGATGATAGCAGCAGCTTTATCTCAGAGAACTTAACTTCATTCTTGTGCTTATCATACATTCCAAAGACAATTAGCAATACGTAGCAAAGCTTATGAGACTTCCATTCGGTCCGGGCAACCCCCCCCCCCGCCGGCAACCCAACAAGTTGTATACGTTCGGTGGGTTCCCTTCCCCCCTCCCTTAAGCCACTACCCCCATTGCCAAACCACGACACCCAGTGGAAAATCAGAACCCGCAGAAAAAGGTGCATCATATATTTCTATATATTTCTATATATATAGATATATATATATATATATATATGAGGAGCGGACGAAACACTTTACTTGGCCCTAGTACTTTTTTGAACGTTATCGTTTTTGGGGGAGACCTTATCGTTTTACAGTGTTTTCGAACTTTGGCAGATCCGGCTCGAAAATCGCAACTTTGTAGTGCAAGTCTAGTACGCGAAGTACACTTCCGCATCTCCAGCTCGAAAATCGCAACTTTGTAGTACAAGTCTAGTACGCAAAGTACACTTCCGCAGCTCCAGCTCGAAAATCGCAACTTTGTAGTACAAGTCTAGTAAGCGAAGTACACTTCCACATCTCCAGCTCGCAAATCGCAACTTTGTAGTACAAGTCTAGTAAGCGAAGTACACTTCCACATCTCCAGCTCGAAAATCGCAACTTTGTAGTACAAGTCTGTAAGCGAAGTACACTTCCGCATCTCCAGCTCGAAAATCGTAACTTTGTAGTACAAGTCTAGTACGCAAAGTACACTTCCGCAGCTCCAGCTCGAAAATCGCAACTTTGTAGTACAAGTCCAGTACGCGAAGTACACTTCCGCAGCTCCAGCTCGAAAGTCGCAACTTTGTAGTACAAGTCTAGTACGCAAAGTAAACTTCCGCAGCTCCAGCTCGAAAATCGCAACTTTGTAGTACAAGTCTAGTACAGGAAGTACACTTCCACAGCGCTCCAGCTCGAAAATCGCAACTTTGTAGTACAAGTCTAGTACGCGAAGTACACTTCCGCGAAGTACACTTCCGCAGCTCCAGCTCGAAAATCGCAACTTTGTAGTGCAATCCTAGTACGCGAAGTACACTTCCGCATCTCCAGCTCGAAAACCGCAACTTTGTAGTACAAGTCTAGTACACGAAGTACACCTCCGCATCTCCAGCTCGAAAATCGCAACTTTGTAGTACAAGTTTAGTACGCGAAGTACACTTCCGCATTTCCAGCTCGAAAATCGCAACTTTGTAGTACAAGTCTAGTACGGGAAGTACACTTCCGCATCTCCAGCTCGAAATTCGCAACTTTGTAGTACAAGTCTAGTACGGGAAGTACACTTCCGCAGCTCCCGCTCGAAAATCGCAACTTTGTAGCACAAGTCTAGTACGCGAAGTACACTTCCGCAGCTCCAGCTCGAAAATCGCAACTTTGTAGTACAAGTCTAGTAAGCGAAGCACACTTCCGCAGCTCCAGCTCGAAAATCGCAACTTTGTAGTACAAGTCTAGTACACAAAGTACACTTCCGCAGCTCCAGCTCGAAAATCGCAACTTTGTAGTACAAGTCTAGTAAGCGAAGTACACTTCCGCAGCTCCAGCTCGAAAATCGCAACTTTGTAGTACAAGTCTAGTACGGGAAGTACACTTCCGCATCTCCAGCTCGAAATTCGCAACTTTGTAGTACAAGTCTAGTATACGAAGTACACTTCCGCAGCTCCAGCTCGAAAGTCGCAACTTTGTAGTACAAGTCTAGTACGCGAAGTAAACTTCCGCAGCTCCAGCTCGAAAATCGCAACTTTGTAGTAGCAGTCTAGTACGGGAAGTACACTTCCACAGCGCTCCAGCTCGAAATTCGCAACTTTGTAGTACAAGTCTAGTACGCGAAGTACACTTTCGCAGCTCCAGCTCAAAAATCGAAACTTTGTAGCACAAGTCTAGTACGGGAAGTACACTTCGGCAGCGCCAGCTCGAAAATCGCAACTTTGTAGTACAAGTCTAGTACGCGAAGTACACTTCCACAGGGCTCCAGCTCAAAAATCGCAACTTTGGAGTACAAGTCTAGTACGAGAAGTACACTTCTCGAAAATCGCAACTTCTCAGTACAAGTGTCGTATTTACGAAGCACACCTTGGCAGCTCCAGCTCGAAAGGGGCGACTCGCCTTCTCGTTTTACGGTGGCCACGCAAGGGTCCCACCCTAGCTAAGATGCAACTGCAGGGGTTATTATAGATCCGTGTGTTGGCTAAGGGTTATCGTTTTTGGGGGAGACCTTATCGTTTTGCATGGTTTTGGCATGTGTTACGCAAAAACGTACCCCGCCTTGATAAAGTGGTCTTCGTGTGTTTTGTCCGTGGCTCATATATATTATAGACTACATAGACTACACAGGCCATATACTCCAGGTTCCATCGGGAGTGGTTTCGGGGTGGAAATTTCCCTGGGCAAAGTGGGCGGTTTCCCTGGCTTTCTTTGAACCCCAAATATACTTCGCGCCAGCGTATGCACTGCACTCAGTTGTTCAGTGACCCTGGAAAGACCATTTTAGTGGGGCAGCCACAAAAAAGAGGGAAAACAGGGCGCCACTGAACAACTGAGTGCATGCAATACCCGTCCCTTCTGGGGATGCTTAGTAAAGATCAGCGCCCAACTTGTATGGCAGAAATCTCGGGTTGGCCCAACTCCGTTTATCCATGGCAAACCCTCCTAGCCCATGGTCACAGAATCCTGGAACTCAATTCCCTGGCAAAAGGCTTGATGACAATCCCCTCCAACCCAAGTCATATGACCACTGCAGGTTCACTATCCAAACCAGACTGTCTTGAACTGTCTGGGTCTATTCAAGTGGCATCATCAAAAGTACTGCTTGAATGGGACACCCAGCCCAATTTGCAATCTTTAGACCCTTGAACCAGGCGCCTGTCGTTCGGGCTTCCTTTTCTAGGTCCTCCAGTAGAGAGCTTAGAATAAGGGTACCATCCTTCTTTCTGTAGTCTATTTTAGTAGGGGAACCCTCCCCCCAAAAAAGGGGTGAGAAAGGTCACTACTTGGGGACCTAGTTTTGCCGAGGCGCTGATTAGCTGGTAGGCGGCACCGGCGGCAGTGATGGCGACCACAAAGCCCGCAGGGCCTGGGCGAAGACATAGCACCATTGCGGACCCCGCTAGAAACATGTGGCCATGGGTCAAAATCCCAATCCCCACTAAAATAGGTTCTAAAACGGGTGGTGCACCTACCCCAAAATGGTACTGTTGGTTTTGAACCATGGCCATGTGGCTGTGGCTCAAAATTCAAGCGCTGGGGCAAACCGCAGGTTTTGGCCTTATCCCTCAGGGCCCAAAACGAGAAACCCACCCTTTTGAGCCGCAGCCATGTTTAAACGGCGACTGGTCACCTTTGAGTAATCGTTACCCCCCCCCTCCAATCTAGCCCCCTGACATTCATGACCACCCGCAAAACGAATTCTTGTTGAAAGAGTTTCCTTCGGGTGGCCCTTTGAAAACGGTTTCGGGTTTGCTGGTTGAAGACAATTTCGCCAACAACCCCACCAAGTCTGACTACCGTTTGGTCCGTTAGACCCAGGAAATAGTGAGATGGTTTTCATGTCAGTGTCGTGCGTCAAGGGAACACACCTGTCACACCAGATTTGGACTTCCGAGCATTTGCGTGGGAAGCACCATTTCTGGTGATTGCAAGCGCACCTGTCTTTGTTTTTGTTCCTCATACTTATATCAGTCAAGGGACTACCCACATTAGCCTGCACGACTCACTGATGCAATCTACAAGTCTCACATAGATACATCATGACAAAAGGTGGCCACCTAGGCTTGCCACGTGCTCAGCTGGTGGATGCTTGCCGCAAAAGATGTAGACCGAAATCGGTCCATTGGGGTGTGAGCTCTTTTGAGGGCTCCATTCTTTAGATTGGTTGCAAGGAAAGGACACGAGGACAGGTTCCAATAGAGAGCTTCTACACGCGAAAAACACGGGGCCAAACTCAGCACCAATGGAAACGCATGTGAGTCACAATCCAAACCTGCCATTAAATTACCCATCAAAGACCATGTAAACAGTTAAAGCCCCGCGCCCATTTGTGGCTGAGTCCCTTACTATCCTTAATCTGCCCGGGTTTTGATTGCGGCTCATTTGGACAAGTCGACTGAAAAATTGCATGCACCGATGTGTCTAAAAAACCCTTGCACAGGCGTGCTATGTTCATCATGCTTTGGAGCATCAACCACGGGAGCATATGCACCATCTTAAAATTCCTTTGCGGGCCATGGTCATGATTATCTTAGCAGAGATCCGTTTACTGGTTGTCTCAACTGTCTAGTCAGC